CTCGTGCACTGAGACTTATCATAAAACCAAATTTATCTGCTGATAGTTTAACGTTTGGAGTCTTTTTACTGCCGATATTTTCCCCTGTGGAGGAAAGCAGCTGCAGGCTGAGGGCGTCCCGTCTCCGTTCCCCTCACCCCGACCTCCGTCTGCAGCCAGGAGCCTCCGAAAGTTTTGTAACCACTGCGCATGCGCAGTCCGGCCTGCTCCTCTCTGGATCCCCTCCCCGGGCCTGAGCACATTTACAACCTGGCTGAACATCCAAATGTCTAGAATGGACCTCCAGGCACAGAAGTCAGGACGATGTTTGACTAGTGAGGGGGGGTGGGGGGGTTAGATTACCGGGAAAATATAAAAACCTGTATTTCCACTCCTTTTATTAGGATATTTTTGGGTATTTTGAACATTTTAAAGTTAGGTATGAGCTCAGGAGTTGGAATCCGTCAGTGGAGAGCTGAGCTGATGCTGACCAGAAGATGTTTCCCCTGAGAATAAATGTGTGATTTGGTCTGGAGAGGTCAGTTTTTCTGACTGGACTCCTTTCTGACCCTGACCCAGGCCAGGGTTAGATTACCGGGAAAAGAGAAAACCTGTATTTCCACTCCTTTATTAGGATATTTTGGGGTATTTTGAACATTTTAAGGTTAGATATGAGCTCAGGAGTTTGGAGTCCATCGGTGGGGAGCTGAGCTGATGCCATCAGGAGGATGTTTCCCCTCAGAACTTCTACCATTATCATTAGTATTAATATCATTGCCATTTTTCATCTAGTCTATGTGTTGCTGTGTTGGCTGCCTCTCTCTCTTGCCCTCTCTCTCTCTCACCCCCCACCCTGAGCCATGGTTCTGCTCCAGGTTTCTGCCTGTTGAAAGGAAGTTTTTCCTTGCCTGTGTCGCCTAGTGCTTGCTCATGGTGGGAATTGTTGGGTTTCTGTAATTAACTCATTGACTGGCAGCCATTTTCAGAACAGAGAGTCCCATACTGCCAGAGTTTTTTGAGCATTTTGACTGATTTTTCAAGAGCCACAGAATAGTTTGTGCTATGACTATGTAAACACGGAACACACCAAAAGAAAGAGTAGACTCTCTTCTTTCATCAGGAAAAAAACATTTGTTTCTACCTTATTCCGTTCTTCCTGGACTTGCGTCTCTCCGGCGCCATTTTTCGCATAGCGAACCATTGCGTTTTTTTTATTTGCCTACAGTCTATGCTCATCTCCCATCAAAAGAGGGTCAATTTGGCAGTCAACGGTTGGATTTGAATTAACGTCTATAGACATCTTTGCCAGCCAATGAGTTAACTTCAGAGTAAGGTCTGACCTGCTCTGTTTGGAAAGCTGTGAGACAACTGTTGTTGTGATGTGGCGCTATATAAATAAAATTGAATTGAATTGGATTGGATTTGGTCTGTGGAGGGCAGTTTTTCTGACCGGACTCCTTTCTGACCCAGGCCAGCACCGACGGCGGGACGGGCGGGGTCCTGACCCCCCACCACGTCCGGGCGCACTCCTCGCCCGCCTCCCTGCAGCTGGGCGCGGTTTCCGGGGGCTCCCTGTCGGGTTTGGGGCCCCCGGGGGCCTCGCCCCAACACCTGCGTCAGTCCTCCTACGAGATCCCCGACGACGTGCCCCTGCCCCCCGGCTGGGAAATGGCCAAAACCGCCTCCGGACAGAGATACTTCCTCAAGTAAGTCTGCCAGAGGTGTGACCAAGTCACTGTGTTGCAAGTCTCAAGTCTCTGTCCTCAAGTCCCAGTCAAGTCTCAAGTCGTGATTTTAACGACTCGAGTCTGACTCGAGTCCAAGTCATGTGACTCGAGTCCCCACCTTAGCTAAAGTCAACTATCTTACAGCAAAAGAAAAGCGCCACCTACCGATCTTTGTGAAGCTTCAAATGCCGGACAAAGTTGGACGTCGTGGCATCTCCATCCCATATTCTCTTCTTGCATGTTTTACAAGTTGCAGTTCGTTTTTTTGTCGAAATTTCATAACCTACGTAGCCAAAAGAAATTACTCGCGGAAGCATATTTGAGCGGTTATTTCCTATTTCGTTCCCTGAGCTCTGTAGCTTCACCGCTTTTTTTTAAACGTCCAAATCCTGTTAGTTTGACACATCCATACATAAGGAGAGAGGAAAAACATAGTGACGGTCTGTGCATATTGATACGGAATGAGTGAAATTAATTAATGACGCTACTTTATAAATACTGTTTTAAATTTTAAGACTTTGAGTAAAAAATATCAAGTCTTTTCAAGTAAACAGCTTCAAGTCGAGTCAAGTCCGAAGTCAATGGCATGAAAGTCAAAGTCAAGTCCGAGTCTTTGAGCATTTTTTCAAGTCAAGACGTGATTTTAACGACTCCAGTCTGACTCGAGTCCAAGTCATGTGACTCGAGTCCCCACCTCTGAAGTCTGCTCTAAACTAGGGCTGTCACTAGGGGTGGGACGGTTCACAAAATCCACGGTTCGGTTCAATTCACGGTTTCGTGGTCACGGTTTTCGGTTCGGTTCGGTACATGTTGATTGTTAGCAATATCTATTAAGTATTGTATACACAGGTTAAAACTGAAAGAAAATTCCACAAGGATAAAAACAAAAACCACAAAATTTAACTGAATTTTGACAGGTTAGTGTCTTTGGTTTCAAACTGACCTGTTACTGATGTTATCGTGGCCAACATCAATGACCCTAACCCTAACCCTAACCTTTTATAATTGTGAGAAATATTTTTTTTTGGTTAAAGTTGTTTGGACTTATTGTACAAACCTATTTAACATCCACTATTTAATATAATATTATGTATATAGTTGAATTCAGTGTTTGAAAGATTAATGTCTATATTTCCATGAAGCAATTGCCATTTTCTTGCCTGGGATCTTCCTATTGATGATGTTATCAAAATGGCCGACATGGATGTGGGGGAGGTGGATATTCATCCTTGGCTTCCTACAGTCTGCAGCGAAACGTAGTTGATTAATGTTGGCGTGTTATTATTAGCCATTAGCCACAGCTAGCAATTCAAAGCTAACGTCAAGTTAATGATCATAAACAACGTATCGATACTTTTGAAAATGAGTATCGTATCCGGATACAACGTTTTAGTATCTATACTTTTTTTGAGTATCGATTTTGACAACCCTACTCTAAACCCTAAGTAAGTATACCCTGAAGGCTAGCAGCCTAAAGGAATGCGTTTGGGGAAAGCTAGCGGTCAGTGTTTTGAGACGGCAAAAATGTGTTATTGTGTGAAAGTAACACACAGACATAGACAACTTTACTGTCATTCTGTGTGTACGGAGTGCACACAAAACGAAATTTCATTGCATACAGCTTAAAACAAGAACAGGATTCAATAATTTAGCAGTCTAATGGCAACAGGGAAAAAGGGAAAAACATTATCGGACTCTAAAAGTATTTTTATGTTGCCCAATTTAACCAGTACATTGCTGGAATATTTTCAAATTAAGATTAATTTGACAATAAGAAATGTGTTGAAAATCTCCCTTCTTGCTTATTTTTTTTGTTTTGTCCTCTTAAAAATCCGGTAAATTGGTTTGTTCGGGGGGAAAAAACAGCTTTAAAATACAAGTATTCTGTGTTAGCATAAATGAGGGATTATTAACGGACGATTTCGGTTCAATCCGGCGTAGAAACGGACGCCGGTCGAGGACTTTTCTCCATTTTGGTGTTTCCAAATTTGCCCGTGAGCACAATAGGGGCTCCAAAGAAGGACACAATTGTTAGATTGCAGGTTATTAAATTTGGTGGCGTCTGGAGACAGGAGAGGTCTTGAGGGACCTCGGCTGTGTGTGGTGTTTTTTTTTTTTTTTCTGGGTCTCAGGTTTCAGCCGAAACAATGGAGCTCTGTTGCTGCCCCCAGACAGCAGAGGACACACTTCTGCTAGACTCATCT